TCCCCAAGCCAACGGGGGGCCCGCTTTTGTGCCCAGTGCCCCATTTTGTTTTTTTTTCGGGGGTTTTGGGGGGGTGGTGGGGGGGGAGGGGCGGGAGTTGTGTGGGGGGGGGGGGGGGTGGTTAGAAAAGCTGAATATGAGGCGGCTGCTGTAGCTGTCAGGAGAGGCAGGGGGTGTCGTGACCTACTTTTTTTGGGAGGGGGGGGGCACAGATGGATTTACGAAGAGGAAGATGGGATTGGCTGCCGGCCATCTTGGATTGTCTGGTTGCCATGGCGACCGGGATGTGTTCTGGTCGGCTTGTCACGCGCTCCGGCACCTATGCTTTTTATTTTATCTATCTATTTATTTTTTTTTGAATTTTTTTTCTTTTTTACCCCCCCCATCAACCTCGTCTCCCTCCATGTGCGCCTCCGGACTGCTCTCAGTCTGTTGCGATGCCACTGCCCACTGGTCTGATGGAGTGACCATGAGATGCCGATTGGCATGACAAGGAGATGGCCTTGGCTCCCTGAATGCCCCCCCCCCCCCCCCCCCCCCCCCCCCCATCATCTGCTCGTGCTGTAAGATGCCCTCACTGCGTATCCTAACCATGCATATTATTAGCTTGTTCTCAGATGTTCAGAGATGAGAGGGTTCAAGATTATAGCGTGTGGGCGTCCTCCACACTGTTCCCATAAGCACTGCTCCGCCAGTATACGGGGTTCATTCTGAAGTCTCCAGCTTTCTGGAAAGTTCTCAGGTTGTCGCTGCGTTACTGACTAAGTGGGCGCTATGATGTCACTTGATCCCACGGGCCTTGCATGCGGAGGAGGACGTAGGTTTAACTCACCCACTCCTCCCCCTATGCCCCCCCCCGCACTGATACGCACCTCTGTCTTCAATAAGCGACAGCACGCCCGCCCGACAGTTTGGCAATGGCGAAGGGCAAAAAAAAACGGTCTTCCGTTTGACCCTCGAGGCAGCCGGTGACGCTCAACTGGGCCGTGACGTTGCTGGCATTTTTTTTTCCCTGTGTCAGGCAGCACTCAGGCCTGAGGGAATCGAGTGGGTCAGCGCCAATGCTGATGTATGTGGAAGTGTCGCATTAGGAGGTACTGCAGCTCCAATGTCATTAAGGGAAGCCATGTTGAAACAAGCCTGGGCGAATTGGTGTGGATCTATATACTGGGACTGAGTGTAGAACTGTCCACATAGAGGTGGGCAGATTGTGTAAGCCCGGAGTTCTGTAACGAGGCTTTACTTCTGCTGGTCCTGCACCTTCACACTAACCGGCATCGTTAGATAAGCAGGGCCCGGACCTCTTAATGCCTCCAGTTGGAGAATCAATTCTGGAGTCTGTCCCGAATTTAACCGGCAGTTAATGAAGACGCGAGCAGGTTTAGCATAATCGTGTTTTGAGGGCTTCGGCCAAGGTTCCTGAATTTTGATTCATACCTTCCCCCCCCCCACTCCCGCCAAAGCATTCCAGTGGTCTAATCTGCCACCCTCCCGCACACACTCTTAACCGTACCTGGAGCCATCTGGCCAGAGATGATCTGATGTCAGCACCAGTTTGAAAGGACCAGTACTAAGCATGAAGTTGTGTGGTCTGAGTGCTGAGAGCAGCACGTTTTTTAAAAAAAAAATTTTTATACTTACATCATGCTAGTAGTAGGACAGTCTATTCAGGACAGAATTTGCTCGCTTAGTCCCAAGGCGGCTGTGGATGATGTCACTAGGTGTGATCGGAAGGTACGTCTTATTTGCTAGCATGCGAATGGGCAACACTCAATTTGGTGTTTAAAGAAAACAAAAGCCAAAGCTAAGGAATATCACGCTCAATACGTCTAGGCGTATAAATATTGTGTTGCCCATCAGAGGATAGTGGTCTAGAGTCTGCAATGTTCAAAGCAATTTGAACTGTGCCCAGGACAGAAGCTGGAGAGGAACATTTCAAATATTTATGGGTCTCTCTTTATTTTTTAGGATGAAATTTTGGGTTTACTGCTGTCCTGTGGCTGAGCTTTAAGTTAAGGTCTGACTGCAGGCACTTTGAGTGTAGCAGGTCCTGATGATGGTTGAAATTATGTCCCAGTACAGCGAAGTCTATTCCTAGGAGGTGGACTTGTGGTCGACCTCCTAGGAGTTTAGTCTGTGGTCTCCTCCTTTCTTTGCCAATTGTTGGTAATTGTGGGACAAAAAAATAAAGACCACTTCTGTCCAGCAGACCCAATCTAAGCAAGTTTCATCTGAAGGTGCAGCGATTGTTGACCTCCATGGTGGGGGTCATAAGAAACTGCCCCAACAGCTGGGAGACCGGAGTTTTTGTTGAGATGTGAATTCACTTCAGGAAAAATCCCTTGATCTCAGTGGCTCTTGGAATTGCAGGAAGGTTGAGTTGCTGCAGGAGCCTGTTTGAGAGGAGCCAACTACCGTACCCATGTAAATCTTAATCAGTGGGAGCCGGGGACATCGTAGTCAAGGTAGAGGTTATTCTTTAGCACCGGAATGCTCGCTCTCTTGATGAGGATGGACTATGCCTGCAAACTCGTGACAGACCACTTGCACGGCCGCGTCCACAAATGGCATTCCCGCGCTCCATTTCACGTCTGCCGTCTCCAGGCAGCATGCCGTGACATTTTTATGCCCCTGATTGGCTCCAACTGAGTCGTCGTTCCTTGCTTGGGGAACTGGCAGGGGCGTGGGCGCTCTATAGACGTACTTCCTCGGTTCTGAATTGACCTCCCTCCGGTTAGGCTAAATCAAACCAATTGTCAGGGTAATTGAGCGAAATTGGTGACTCTCGGGGCTATAAGCTCTACTGTTCCTTTATCGGAATTTTGAAACGGAATCGTGTCAGCACTTCCGTATGGATAAGAGTGGATTGGATGAAGGATGAAGGGAGAGGAGGAGGAGAAGTCAGCTGGTGAATCTCTACCGACTTTCAGCTAGCTTTTTCTAGCCCCCCCCCCCAATGTGACCTACAGAGACACGCCTCAAGTCAATGAAACTATCATGATAGATGTTCACAGGAATCTGCTTGACATTAATCAAATGTTACCTTGTTTAATGTGAGGAAATGCTGGCTGCCTGTGATTGGGCCATTTCTACCCTTGCGTGGTAGCTGTGGAGTTAACCCTTGCCTTGCCCATTATTCCTCCCCCCCCCCGTCCAGGTCTTCCGCAGTGGAGAGGGAATGGGCATCCGGCTGGACAGCGCCTCTGCCTTCCAGGGTGCAGTGATATCGCCTCACTACGACTCCCTCCTCGTCAAGGTCATCGCCAGCGGCAAGGACCTGCCCACAGCGGCCGCCAAGATGAGCCGTGCACTGGCAGAGTTCCGCATCCGCGGCGTCAAGGTACACCCCCTGGCTCGGATTAGCTTGCGATTGGTTTGATGCGGCTCCAAAGAACTGGCTAATTATCAGATCGGGGTTCCACCTGGATTTCTGGCCTGTTTGGTAATCTAATAATTAGAGCTCCTTCATGTCTTCCGAGAGGCTTGTGCAAGTCCACGTGGTTTGCTGTCTAAATTGAGATGCAGCTAACTGGATTTTATTAAAATAGTTTGTTCTGTTCAACATTGATATTGTGCAAATAAGCCTTTTAAATATAGAAGCATTATATTTTTGGGAATGGGTTGACAGTCTTCTTATTTCTACTTTATAAGTACTGCTAACAAATACACCAGGTCCCAGGACTGAACCCTGAGGGACACCTTTTAAAAAAAGCTGCTGATGGACACGTATCCTGCAGTCAGGAACTCTTCACTGACCTTCTTTACTGACTGGCTGTGAGAATGAGTGCATCCTGCCTAATGACACTGTGCACTTAACTAGATCACTTTATTTATAAAAGCCTGTCCCCCTGGGATCAATAAAACGTATCTCATCTTATTATAACGTTCTCAAAGAAACAGGTTTTTTGAAAAAGGCCATAGATTTAAAACTAGTTTACGGTGCACATGTTTCATGGCAGGTAATTTCCCATGTTGTGATTTAATGGTGCTCTCCTGCTGAATTTTATCCTGGGAAAACAGGGAAAATAACATTTAAAAATGGAAAACTGAGATCAGGCTTTACAAACTGCACACAACGAGAGAAGTAGGGGCCCCCAGTATAAGTGTGTCCTTATCGCACGGTAGTAAGAGACCTTATGACAGAAATCCATCGTGGTGGGAGGGGCGGGGGGTGTCACGTGACATGTGGAGGAGTGTCAGAGCCATGTGCGGACAGCCCTGTGATGTTGGGTCTCTGAATAGGTGTCTTGTTAGCGTATCGCCATGCTTTTAGCAATGCCGTCTCTAAATGGACTCGACTAGGTGACAAATTCACATGCAGTGCAGCCACCCCCCGAGCCATGTGACCACGCTTCCATGTGTATTACGCGCAGTGCTTGGGGGGGGGTTTGGTGGAAAAGGGACAGCAAATAAGGAATAAAGCAATGATAGGGGTGATGGGAACTCGGGTAGTGTTAATGGCATTAGGTAACGTTATGCCGGGGGGGGGGGCGGATTTGTGTCCTCCCCAGATGTCTTTTTTATGAGTTTTTTTTTTTTTGTCTTTTTTTAATGTAGCCCTGACTCGTCACTTTAGGAGCAGGTGACTGAATTTTTTAAATATTTTTATTTTAAAGTCCTATCTACATCTTGCTTGTCAGATCTTTTTTTTTTCTCTTC